TTCTATAATTGATTTTGACTTCACAATTAATTCCTACAGTAATATCACCAATAATTTCGCAATGCAACTTTTAGTGAATTAAGCACGAATCTACACCATTAATTTCACAAACGAATTCCAACCTCAAATCGCACTTGACCACCGCCGATTATAATAAATCGAACGAACCAGTTTGACCAAAGACAATGACATATTCAATGTTGTCACGCATCCTGTCATCAATTTCAGCGTTCGTGACACTGAGCTGCTTATTCAAATTTTAGGATTTCGCTCACGGCCTAATCGTGAATTCCAACGGACAATAACGATTCGCTGGCGACTCTGACATGACCTCGAAATTCAGATCCTAATATGCTACTAGGGTGTCTGGACCAATAAGTTCAAAGTAATTTAAGTTTTCCAATTCCAATTGAGAGTGCATTTTATGGCAACCGAAAATGTTTGGCAGTCGTCACGGCACGGCAAGCTGGGCAGAGGGGGGGGGGGGGTGGGCAAGGATCAGGGATTGAGCAGACTTTTCAACAACACTCACATTCTGGAGTTTCTCTGCGCTTCCGCTTCTCAGTGTGGTCACAAGCGTCGGCGGTTGTCCTCCGGCTCTGGTCGGTCGAACTGAAGAGGCTTCTCGCGGGTGACCCCGGACCGACGGCGGCCTCCAGATGGCGTCTCCGGCTCCGGCTGCAGACTGTGACTCTCGGCTGCTCGACTGTGATTCCCCCTCTGGTTGGGTGGCGCACCCTTTTATAGTTGGGGGGAGGGGTGACTGCCACGCCCTTGCGACGTCATCTTCCTCTGCCTTCTTCTGGTGGGTGGGGCTGTAAGATGGCGCCCTCTGTCCTGTTTAGTCACCTTGCTCCTCTGTGCCTGCAATTTTTGGCCGTCGAATCGTCTTGGTGTTGAGTGCTTTATCATTTTAATAATCGCTGGCATAAAACAATCCCCGAAAGGTTTGTGATTTTCGAGTTTTAATTTTGATTCTTCATTTTCATTTTATTCAAACTTTTGTTTCCTTCCGTTTCGTCTGCCGCCAACGCCCCTGTGACGTCACTCTTGCTCCGCCCACCGTACCGGGGCGTGGCCGTAACGCAGCGCCTTCTTCCTCTGCGGAGATCTCTGGAACTACAGGTCATTGCTTGCGGCTTGTTGTGGAGGTCACCTTCAAGGCGTTCTGCCGGGTCACTCACCCTGGGTTGTTGTACCCCGACAAAGGAGGCTGTGTGCTCCAGCCGGCATCCATCCTTTACACTGCTCCATGATTTGATGACGTATCTTGCTGATCCAGCGCTCCCAGCCGTTATCTGTCCTCGGCGTGGGTCCACGAGCTGTTGACAGTGTTACTGATCCAGCTGTTACTTGTTGGGATTCGAATCGTTCATCCTGCGGTAGCTGTCTCCAAAAGCGCGCGTCTTAATGGGAGTTTAACGGCTGCCCATAGCGAAGACCTCTGGAACTACTGCGTTTTTGCTTGCCATAGGATCTTCCTGGTTGTGCCATTCCCACCATGTGACTCAGCGCGGTGCAGCTGTTGTGGTACCTGACAGAGTACGTGACAAGTGACAGAGTACCTTAACGTGCTCGCTCGCCGCCGCCGCCGGCCGCGGTCCTGACGTAGCTTGTTGACTCAGCTGTGGCTCGACGGTTCGTACTGATGTAGGCGGCATCGTCTTCTCGCAGATGTGTCTACTGCGGCTATTCCCACGGACAGTGCTCGTTGCGGGAGATGGAGAAAAGTGATGTGTGGGGATGGTGGGCCTGGTGACTGGGGGGGGGGGGTGAATAATGAGAGGGGAGGGGAGCGCAGCAGTAGCGCTCCGCTCAGCTGTGCGTCACCCGGTAGCAGCGATGGGTGAGTGAATGGAGGGCTAGGCCTGTGACCGGACTGCGAGGGGGGGAGACTGCCGGACCAAGCCGTGCCGAAAAGATTCTACGTTAAATGTTAAAGATGTAGCGTGCTACAGGGGCAGGGGCACCACAGTCCTTCCAGGGGCACCGCAGGCCTGTGAGGGGCACCAGCGGCCTAGCAGGGGCACCAGTCAACACAGGCCTGCCAGGGGGGCACCACAGACCTGCCAGGGGCACCAGAGGCCTGCCAGGAGCACCACCGACCTCGCAGGGGTAACTTGGGCCTGTCAGGGGCACCACGGGCCTGTCGAGAGGCACTTCAGGCTTTTCAGGGGCACCATAGTCCTCTCCGGGCGCAGGGGTAGCAGGGGCACCAGAGGCCTGCCAGGGGCACTACAGGCCTAGCAAGGGCACCACTGTTCTATCAGGGGCACCACGAGCCTGTCATAGCCAGGCATCTCAGGCTTGTCAAGGCCCAGGGGCACCACAGGTCTGTGAGGGGCACCAGCGACCTAGCAGGGGCACCAGTCAACACAGGTCTGCCAGGGGCGCCACAGACCTGCCAGGGGCACCACAGACCTGCCAGGGGCACCAGAGGCCTGCCAGGGGCACCACAGGCCTAACAAGGGCACCACGGGCCTGTCAGGGGCACCTCAGGCTTGTCAGGGCCCAGGGACACCACAGTCCTTCCAAGGGCACCGCAAGCCTGTCAGGGGCACCAGAGGCCTGCCAGGGGCACCACAGTCCTTCCAGGGGCATTACAAGCCTGTCAGGGGCACCAGAGGCCTAGCAAGGGCACCACAGGCCTGCCATGGACACCACAGGCCTGCCAGAGGCACCACCGGCATTGCAGGGGCGCCTCAGGCCTGTCAGGGGCACCACGTGCCTGCCGGGGACACTTCAGGCTAGAGGTGGCAAAATGTGGACCCGAGGACCCGGTCCAAAGAACCAGTCTGGACCCATATGGGTCCAGACCGGTTCCTGGAAATTTTATGACGGGTCCAACCGGGTCCTGCCATAAACTATACATCTTGCACACTACACATTATTGCAAATATGAAGTGAATTAAGTGAATGTTTATTTGCACACAGTAGCTCATGAGTATTCCCAATTGGAAATAGGCTGTTTTACATGATGCCACTAATGATACCTACAAGTAGTTTGTATTAATTGACTTTTGGGGAACGGGTCCAACTGGTTCCGATTCCAACTAAGACCGGGTCCGACTGGTTCCAGAAAGGTCCAGCCGGGTCTGGTTCGAGTCTGGTTCCCAAAATTTTCATCTTTTGCCACCTCTAGTGACAAGCCTGAAGAGGCTTGTCAGGGGCGTTACAGTCCTGTCAGGGCCCAGGGGCACCAGGCCCGTGGTGTCCCTGCTAGGCCTGTGGTGCCCCTGGCGGTCCTGTGGTGCCCCTGTCAGGACTGTGATACCCCTGATAGGCCGGTGGTGCCCCTGGCAGGTCTTTGGGCCCCCGGGCCTCAAGGGGGGGCCATGACCCATGTGACCCCCCCCCCCCTTGGATCCGCCCCTGTGCAGGAAACTACGCTGGCCGCCGGAGATCACCGCTCTCTGATGTCCGGACCGGAGGCGATAGTGCCGAGTCTCGCCTCGGTGAACGAACGACACTCGATCCGAATGGAGATAACGGGCGACTGAGGACACCCGTGCTGCTTCGGTATCACTGGCCGGCCCAGCAGCTCAGTCCGACTGCCTGACTGGGTTGACGAAGGCCCGAGACGGACCGGATGGCCGGCGGTGGGGCTGGAGCTACAGGGAGCGACTGGACTGCCTCATATCCTGGCTCTCACTGGGATACGCGTAGTGCCGCAGTGTAAACAAGCATTGGTCTGGAATTATCCCTCCGTTATCTATGGACGTGACTGAGCCACAGCGACCGCCCGGCCGAGCGCCTCTCATCTCATGCACTACGGGCCCACAGGACTGGTGGCTAGTTGGATGTTTGGATGGTGAGTGGCGCAGCAGCGCCATTCCCGGTGGCGCACAACGCGCGGCGGCGGCGTCGGGTTCGGCGAATTCGGCGCAGTGGCTCCGGTTTGGGCGCACGGCGGGCGCGGTGACCGATCGGCCTCAGATCGGAGATGTGGGCCGGATGACGCGGCCGCCGGCCGGTTGTTCCGGGACCGGCGACCCCGCCGACCAGCCCGGGCCAGACAGACTGCCGAGACGGCGGCAAGGAACGAATCTCTTGGTGGGCGTCCGGTTGATGAAACAATTTTTCGAGCTCGTAGCTATACCTACGTACAAATTTCAAAAAGGAAATAAAAACATGAAATAAGTTAAAACTAAAAACTATGCCTAAAGGCATCGATAACACTTTTTCATTCATGACTATGTAAAACCAAATCATGCAAGTGGCAACGTTCTTTCTATCTACATGTTGCCAATGAAGTGGTTCCATTTTCAATGGAAGCACCCTCGGTACGTTAAGCGGACTCTCGTCGGCCGCGTTCCCCACGGCCTTGGTCAGCTCTGCACTATGTGCCGTGACTGCAGCTGGAGAACCGCAGCCGACCGGCACGTGCTCGCCGCCTACTCATTGCCATGCAGGTGAACGACCTCCGAGGCGAGAGTTGCATGCGGCTGGCGACCGCCCGCAGCCGCCGCGGCAGACGGACGGATCTGTCACATATAAGGCATGACGGGGAGGGCTGATCACTGATCAGTGGGCCGCGCTGGGGCCTGCTGAGCTGCGCCGAGACAGGTCCTATGATACTGACCGTGTCACGGCACGGCCGAGCCTCTTTATGTGGATATCGAGCCCCTTTATGTGGATATCGAGCCTCTATATGTGGATATCGAGCCCCTTTATGTGGATATCGAGCCCCTTTATGTGGATATCGAGCCTCTATATGTGGATATCGAGCCCCTTGATGTGGATATCGAGCCCCTTTATGTGGATATCGAGCCTCTATATGTGGATATCGAGCCCCTTTATATGGATATCGCCAATCCACGGCACTGGATCATTTCGGCTGGCCGCCGACCTTTCCCATCTCCTCACCCTCAGGCCTATAGGACGGGCGAGCACTGGAAGCACCTGACCATATCTGACCGCTAACCGTCCCCCCTCACCTCTGCAGGACTGGCGAGCACTGGAAGCTGCACTGACCGCTGTCCTTCCCCTCCCCCCTGCAGGACTGGCGAGCACTGGAAGCACCACCGTCGCATCATGAACAACTACCTGCTGAAGCCGAGCGCGCACCGGCACACGGCGGCGTTCAACCAGGTGGTGAGCGGCCTGCTGTCGAGGTGGGAGAACCAGCTGGACGGCAGGGTCACCCGCACGGAGGACGAGCTCTACACCTACAGCGTCGAAAGTGAGTCGGCGCGGACCCTCCGAATGTGACGGCTGGCTGATCCTAGTGTTCAGCAGGTCTCGTTAATCAGTGTTGCTCTATCAGCAATATGAGCCTTCCGAGACTACCCATCCTCATGGGTCCCGGAAATCCCATTTTCCCTATTACACCACCCACAGTTCCTGACGCACGTCAGCGGAATTAAGTCCGAACTCCTAGATGAATCAATTAAAACAACTCGGTGGTAGCTGGGTGGTGGAATGCGCAGCCGGTCGTCGCAGACCGTTGGGCTCCTCGGAGGCACGCGGAAGTGACGGCATGTGGTCAGGGCCGCGGTACCGGTCAGTGGGAGCGGGACGGTCCCTGATTCCCGTCAGTCCGCTCCTCCCCGCAGGCGGGATCAGATGAAGCGTTTGGACCAGCTGTCCAGAGGTCAAATCGCACGGAACTCGTTCTAACCGTTCGGTCACACCCAGAGTTTGACTCGTGTGGAATTCGGCCGAGCACTGAGCTTAACTTCATCGAAGGTACGACATTTCAGCCGCGTCATGGCTGTTTCGAGTACCGTAAGGTGGGGCTATTTGAGACTGTGGGGCTATTTGAGACAGTATTTAAAATTGTTATAAAATAAAAACCGTCTGAAATTTATGCTTAATTTTTGCTCAGGCGATTTACTGCTCGATTCCACACATTCCTGAGCAAAAATATTACTTAAAAATCAAACGCTCTTCATTTTATAGCGATTTGAAATGCTGTCTCAAATAGCCCCACTGTCTCAAATAGCCCCACTTTACGGTATGATCGTTTGATGGACTGGGCAATTGAATGCCGCGACTACAGTATGGCTGAGGTGAAATGGGCACCGTTTGGATCGGTCCGCTCCAGTCGGGGACTCTGAGCGCGGCGGCCGTGCGGCACCCTGCATTCAGTGGCAGACCCTCCACATGGACGGAACACTGCTGTCCGTGTGAGACAGACGACGTGTACCCACTGAGGGCTGCTGGGGTCCGTGGTGCGTCACTGAACGGCGTAGACGGGTTCTCGGAACTGATTCGGAAAACACCGCTCGACGATGGGACTTTTTGTCAGAGAAAGTAGGCATGACCCGCGAGCCACTTAAAATGCGAATCACTCTGTCGCACTTCCGCGTTACGGAGCTCAGATGGGCCATCGATGAGGTTAGATAAAATGGCTGAGAATGGCTACGTATCAGAATAGGGCGAACTTCCTTCAAAATAAACAGATCTCGTGATATCCAAGTAGCTAAACGGGCGTCCTCCTTTCGACTATTTTGTTTCTTGGTGGGTATCTTGCTAACGCTATAATCCACCATCCGAGACTGGATATGTCGTCTTTCATGACGCTCTGCCTTCTACCACTCTCTGCCCTCACCTGGAGGCATCGGCCAATCCTCCTCCCACCCCTATCCCCTCCCCTCCCGCACCCTCGCCTAGCAACACGGTGAGCGGCCGGCACGTGCCCAGCCCCAGCCGCCTCCCCCCCCCCCCGTCTAGGTGTGCGCGTGTGATAGGCGGTGTGCCAGTGATTAAACACGGCCAGTCGCGGGGCGTAACGAAACTGCCATCCCCATGTAGGGTGAGTATCACGAACAGGAAACTAGGATACCGTCGGCAGAGCCAAGCAGACAGTGCAGTGTGCACTAGTTAACAAAATCAGCCGGCCAACTGCCGCTCTCGGCTCTCCGTCCGCCCGTTGTCGAAGTCTGTCTCCGCCTCTGCCTCAGCTCGCCCAGCTGTGTCAGAGCTGGGTAGAAGTCGCTGATTCCCCCATCAGACGACTTTTTGCCGTCGTTTTTGCCGGTGGAGGACCGTTCAGTGTTCGGGCCACGTGCCGATCGGTACCTACATACTACTCTGCGGCGGCCAGCCGACCGGCGGCACACAGCCCAGACCTGCCTCATGTGGTGTGTAACCCTGAGTACCTACGTCAAGGCTGACGCTGTTTATCCTTTTTTCAACGTGTGTGACCTTAACCGTTGAAAAAACGAACTTATAGTCCCCACTCCGTAAACGAATGCGCACGGCATGTCCTCGCATAGTGAAATGGAATGCAGGCAAGACAACTGGTTCACGATACATGAATGGGCTTCTAGATGTTGATCACCTGTTCCTTAATATGTGCTGGTAAAAATTCATGCAGTGGCCGTATAAGCTGAGAAGACGCAGCGACTGAGCAGACAGCACTTACGAACACGGAATATTCGCATTTGTCATTCAGGTCAAAGCCCCTTGGACGCCTCAGAGGCGTATAAGGACTCGTGACATTCGGTGGGCGGCTCTGCGAACGTGATCAGCACGGGCGGCGGGCTGGGCGCCACGGCCGGTGTCGGCAGAGAGCGGGCCTGCCGACCGGGTCAGCGGCCGACTCCCACTGCCGTGCAGGTGGCGCACGGCCCGTGCAGGGTACACGGCAGGTGGGTCGCGGCGGCGACCGGTACAGCTCAGACACGTCTGCCCGGCAGAGGCTGCAGCTCTGTCCGGCTGTATGTAGCTCACAGCTCGCCAGCTCTGTCCGGCGGCGGCTGCAGCTCGCCGATTAGTGCTAACCGGTCATTGGGTCACCGCCGGTCTGAGGGCCCACCCGGCCAGGTCAGCGCCCGGCCCGCCGCTGATTCGGCTGCCGTTTATTCCGTGCAGTGACCCGCTGTCGGGACTGTCCCACCTGCCCGCGATGCTGTGATAGGTATCGCCGGACCGCCACCGACTACTGATCGTCTCACGACTCAGTGGCGCACTGAGTGCATTTCTATCGGTCTGACCTCTGGCGAACGGGTCTCTGTCGGCCGACACCGACCACCGGCGGTCTGACCTCCGGCTGACCTCCGAACCACTGACCCCTGTCGCCGCTGACAGGCGGACAGCTCCGGTGTCTGCTGAGCTGGACCGCCGGACAGGACGGACTATCGCCCGGCGCGTCAGCCCGCCTGCCGTGTCGAGAAAGCTCCGGAGACGCGCCTCAGCTCATCGGTATAACCCGTCTTTCCAAACGGAACCGGATACGGGCGCCGCGGTCCGTGTATCTGATGGCCCGGCCAGTGCGCACTGCGCGCTGCGCAGTTGGAAGTGCGCACTGCGCACCTGACACGGACCGAGCTGCGCGCTGCACGACGTGCATTGACAGACGTTCGATCAGACGTTCGACGTTCGATCAGCCCGGGACGATCTCCGCATACATCACTGAGTGGCCATCAGCTCTACGCCTGCTCAGAGAGCTAGGAAGTGGTCAGCTGCAAGTCATTGACGAGTTTTTGCAAACGCCGATGATGATCATATGCTGCTGAAGCTCACAAGTACAGGCACTCGTTGAGTACCCGGTGGTGACTGGTGGGAGAGTTGAACGTGCTGACTGCTGATATACCGGGTGGCCCAGAAAAAAACGTTCCCAATTTTAAATCAATATTTCTCAGAAAGTGATAAAGATACAACATTGAAACTTCCAATAGTCAATGCGACATATATTTTCAGTGAATTGTATGATTTTCATGTTATTCGGTCAATTACTTTTTAAACGGTTCGTGTTTCTAGCATGCCATGTAAAAATCATTTTTTTGCTCTGATGTTTATCAAAAATATGAATGAACGGGCCACTTCCATCTCGGCACCACGGCCTACAGCCATGACTGCTACTGGCAACTAGTCTCATTGGTGGTTCAGGCCTCAGGGTGACACATTCCCTCTAGCTTTTTTCCTTATTCGGTCGATTTACTATTTGATCTTCTTGAAGGGAGGGCGATCAGCAGTTACCCATGCACCGTGCCACTCGGCTTCGCCTCGAAACAGGACTTGTGTTGAAACGAATGGCATCCATTAACACAACTTTGGCTTAGTATTTGAATATTTGGCACATAAGTGTGACAAAAATATCTAAAATAGCAACACACGCGCTGGTATCATTCACGTTGTTCTATTTTTTTTTTGTATTTTTTCTAACATGGTACGTCTAAGCCAATCATTACTTCCGTTCAACAACGGCAAAAAAAGCAAAAACGTCTTACTTCATTCAACATAAGATTGCTGGCTTGAAAATGATGGTACAGTGTTATAATTTGGCATACCAATGCGCAAAGAAGTGACGCAAACTGGATGAAAATTTTGGCTCGTTATTTGCACTTGAATTTGAGATATAGGCCTCCAAAGTTCGGAACGTTTTTTTTTTTGGCCACCCGGTATGTCACTGAGGCTGCGTCCGGCTGAGATAGCACTGTCGTACCGATGTAAGATGCAGTCACTGATCCCGCATCTTACTGTCACTGGTCCGAAAGTCTCATTTGTGAGAGAGATCTCAATGATAAGTAAGTTGGAGCGGGCGTCTCCTCTGTATGCCTATAAGGCTATACACACTATTGAACGGCAGCATAAGCTAGAATTGTTCTATAGGATATGCCTTCCCCGTAGATTAAGCTACTGCCGGTGAAACGAGTCCCCGCCTGTCGTCACAGAGTGTCGAACGTTGGGTAGTCCCTACCTCCTCCCGTCGCTCGTGCCGCTGCTCGCCCCTCGCGTCGGTCCCTTCCACCGGTACTGTTAGCACCAGTCGGCGATCTCTGGTGTCCTCCGGGTGGCCCCACGGTGGCCTCCGGGCCGTCCCGCTGTCCCCTTCCGAAAACCATAACTGACCTGCTTTCCTTCCCATCCATCAATCTAGTGCGCACGCCCTCGCAGGGGCTCTGCTGGGGGTCAATGCCATGGCGTCGGCTTCAAACATCTGATGACAGTGCCAGTCAAAACTCCAAACCCGAACCTGAGACGGGGGAGGTTTAAACATCCTGCAGCGGCGCCCCGTGGGGGGGGGGGGGTCATCCTGCGGCGTGACCCCGTAGAGGGGGAGCTGTATTCCGTGTCACCCAGGGTCACGTAGTGTCGGGCCGTGTGTCGGTGTCAGCGGACAGTGTCACCTTGACACACGAGGATTGACTCGTGAGGAGCTCCGGTGGCCCCTATGACGACCCTCGGTCTTCAGAGGTAACCCACGTCGGACAATACGGCGCTAATTGAATGGGTGTGGTCAAACAATCGGACTCTTCAACACTGTATGTACAATAGCTTGAAACAATTACCACCGTCACCTAATATTGGACGATTAAAACTGAACGCATCAGCTTAGGTCATCATTGTTCTGACACTGCATTGTTACCTGCAGTGATGCCTGAGCCATGCACGGAGCCCTTTCCCGCTGCATATTGTTGTGTATCGTGATCACTTCTTGACCTCGACGAGCTCATGTGAAGTGACCTTGCAATCTCTCTGTGCTCCTTATCTCTCGCCCTCTCTTCTTCCTCTATTTCTCTCCCTTCCTCTCTCCCTCCATCGCTTCTTCCGGCGCTGTTACTCGTCAACTTCACTGGTGATATAGTAGCCCATATGCCATATGTCCACTGGTGATATAGTTCGCTAACTGGCGCCCCTGCCGGCAGTCATGGCGGCGGTGCTGTTCGGGCCCGGCCAGAGTTTCGGCTGGGTGGACGGCGCGCCCACGGAGGCCACAGACACGCGCCGGTTCGCGGCGCTGGTGCGGCGCATCTTTAGCACCTCGGCGGCGCTGAGCACCACGGACGCGGCGGCGGCCGCGCGCCGCGGCACTCCCGAGTGGAGGGAGTTCGAGCAGGCCGTCCAGGAGGGACTCGACATCTGTGAGTGCCACCAGAGAACGGCCGAGCGTGTGACGGGACAGAGCGGCATTAGCACGGTCTGGGGCTGAGTTTGGTCAAGATATGAATTAGGAGCATATGCATGTGTTCAATTGTGAGCTAGTTTGCACTAACACATTGCCCTGCTGCGGCTGATAGCCGTTTCTCCGCCCGCACTCTGGTGCCCCGTGTGTGTGCTGCCTTCTCCGCGCCCCGCTGACGCCAGCGCCCCTGGCGGTCGCAGGTCGAAACTACGTGGAGCGGAAGCTGACAGAGGTGGAGGCGCAGCTGGCGGCCGGCGAGCCCACCACCGGCATCATCGCCGAGATGCTGCAAAACGGCGAGGATGTCAGCCGCGAGGAGATCGTGCGCATCGTGGCCGACCTGTTCCTGGCCGCCGGAGACACGGTCAGAGCGGCCGCAGGGAGCCGGGAGGGCCCGGGGTGCGAAGACACGATCAGAGCACGGAAGCGGAGTGTGGGGGAGGCCCCGTATGTGGGTAGGAAACTGTCAGACATCATCAATCATCGAACTTTCTAATGTGGTGTGGTAATATCGGTTATTTTCTGTACAGCTGATATTGACGGTAGTTTGAGACTTTGAGTGCCTCGAGTGTGAAGTTTCAATGGTTGAATTTGTTTCTGTAAGCCTCTTGTATCCGTCACCTGTTAACACTGTCGACAGCGACCCCTAGACTGATTTCCTTCTCTCGCTCTGTGCTCAGTTTCCAGCTGTCCCGTTACTCAGTTTTCCCGGTCCACTGAACTCAGTGTTCCCCTCTGGGCGCACAGACGGCGCACAGCACGTCGTGGGCGCCCCCTGTACCCAGTTCCCGCGTTGCTCAGTGTTCGCCTCTCTCCCCTGCACACAGCACCTCGTGGGCCTTTCTGTACCCAGTTCCCGCTCCTGTGTTACTCAGTGTTCGCCTCTCGCCCTGCAGACGGCGCACAGCACGTCGTGGGCGCCTCTGTACCCAGTTTTCCGCTCCCCTGAACTCAGTGTTCCTCTCTGGGCCCACAGACGGCGCACAGCACCTCGTGGGCGCTGTACCAGCTGGGCCGGGACGGGGCGCTGCAGCGCCGGCTGGCGGCGGCCGTGCGGCGCGCGGTGCCGGCCGGCAGTCCCACCATCAGCTCGGAGCAGCTGGAGCGCGTGCCGCTGGTGCGCGCCGTGGTCAAGGAGACACTGCGCCTCTACCCGGTGGCGCCGTTCCTGACGCGGCTCATCCAGAGCGACACCGTCATCGGCGGCTACCACGTGCCGGCCGGGGTGAGTGGATTCAGAGAGTGCCGAGGGCTCGGGGCTGCGAACTGAGAACGATATCCGCCAATATCACTTATCAAGTCGTCATTTAGGCCTGAAGTCATTTAGTCATCCACAACAGTTATTGCAGACTGCCTCTCCAGTAGTGAACATCACAGATTACCTGCCAATGATAAAGTATTCAATCCAACCTTAAATAAGCTGTCTCTCGTTTCTATTCTCCTTTCCACTCCCTCGTCACGCCTTTTTCAACGGACGTGGTCTCTCGCTGAGGTTGTCGTCCTCTTCCAAAGTGAGATAATCAGCTGCTGTGAGCACAAACTTACAGCCATTCTTACAGATCCAGCCACTTAGTACAACGGCCTGCCTCTCCGTCTCCCTCTCCCTCTGACCGCCCTCCCCGCCCGCTCTCCCGCAGACACCGCTCTGCGTGTCACTGTTCAGCTCCAGCCGCGACAGCCGCTACTTCCCGGCTCCGCTGCAGTTCCTGCCGGAGCGCTGGCTGCGCCCGGACGGCCGCGGCGCCGGCGCCGCCGGCTGCCCCGCGCACGGCCAGCACGGCGCGCTGGCCGGCTCGGCGCACACAGAGAGCGGCCTACGCCACCGGCACGCCTGCATGCCGTTCGCCGGCGGCGTGCGCGGCTGTATCGGGAAGCGGGTGGCCGAGCTACAGATGCAGCTGCTGTTGGCGCGGCTGGTGCACCAGTTCCAGCTGGGCACGGAGAACCGGCGGCCGGCCCAATTCGTGATGCGCATGGTGGGAGTCATGTCGGACGAGCTGCAGCTGACGCTGCGGCCCAGGGACGACTGACGAGCGACCAGTAGCGGCGGAAGAGGTGGCTGACTCCCGGGACCGGCTGTGCCAGAGACGGCCAGGCGGCCGGGTGCAGAGCTCGCCCCGCTGAGGGCAGGTCTGGGTCAGAGCTGGTCCCTCAGAGGCCGGTTGGGATCAGAGCTGGTCCAACTGAGGGTCGGCGGCTACCCTGCAGCTGAGGTAGAGTTCGTAATCTGTGTGCGGCAGAGACGGACAGAGCACGGGCGACGTGGACAGCTACGTGCGGTGACCACTGCGCTGGTGAAGGATGCCATGTCGCTGTCTAATATTGAAGAGAAGGTACTAGGAGTGGCTTCGTCAGTGTGCCGCTTTTATCGCACACACCAACGCCAACTAACCGAATTACTGTATACCGCACCGAAGTATGTACAAAAGAGTTGTCTCGACTCGCCTGCTTTTGCAACCACCCGATGTTACCACGCGTTACCGAAGCCGTGTGCCGCTATCTGCCGGACTGACCAGGGTGTTATTGTCAGTCTGCTGGCCGCCGCGTGTCGCCGGAGCGGAGCAGCCCGTGTTGTACCGTTTGTCGACTGGCAGAGGCGTGGACTGTTGTAAGCGATCCTGTTGGAACTCGGAGCGCGCCGTTTGGATGCTGGCGGAGCTGCCTCGACCTGTTATGGGGCAGCGGAATGGTGACGGGGTGGCAACTGTCCACTCGTTTACCCCGTGCGGGACTGGGGACGTGGGGACGGATGTGCTCCGACTGAGAGACATCTGCGCGCCTCTTAGGCGGCGTACAATGTTTGGCTGCTGTTCAATGTTCAGGCGCAGTGGAGTGGACCGCCATAGGGCGACGGGCGACGTCTTGTGCGTGCTGGGGAGCTGTTGTGATACGAGCGTTTGAAGCCGTGCTGTTGTGAAACGCAGCTGTGAATCCAGGGTACATCAGCTTGTTACTGTGCTGTGGTCGTGGCGCGCGTGCGAGTTTGTGACGGGTGCGTGGTAATGTGTGTGAGGAGAGGATAACTGAGTGTGGGACCGAGAGGACAGTGTGAGAGTGGGACCAAGGGGACGGAACACAGAGACCGCACGACAGTCAGTGGCGTCGTTTTGTTTGCTCGTGCTGTGCTGTTGCACCTGTTTTGATAGTGAGGCTTTTTGTTCAATGTCCAGCAAATGGCTAAATAAAAACAAATATGCTTTACACCTGTTGTCACGTTGATGAAAAAAAAATATTTACATTGCCGCATTGGCGGTATGAAATGCGTATTCAAGCGCCAAGGTTCAAGTGTGGCGCACATGCTGGAACTACAAAGTAAATACTTTTGGGATTGTAATTAATTTTCTGATGCAGGCCATCCGTCCTGCACCGCGCACCGGTTGGGCGCTCCTATCTTCGACTTACGGATGACATTAATTAAAAAATGGATCAAAACGAATCAGACAAATTAATTGACATGAACCTGGATTGACGGTGGCTGCGCGCGAATCGTACAGAGACGGGTTCAAAAAGGCGTTATGTATTGGTTTCAAATGCGGTATAAGTGCCGCGATATTCCACGGTCTCCTGGAGGGACCGGAGGTCACATCCCGACTATCGGCGCGTCTCGTACCGTCGCCGGGACGGCCGGGCCGGACAGCAGTACACGCCCACGGCCTCTGCAGGGCTCTCCCGTCTCGGGGCGGCTGGATCAACCTGATACGCTCAGTAAGACGTGACATATCACAGCCCCCCCCCCCAAATAAATCACATCGGCGCCGCGGAGCGAACGGGAGGCGCGAACAGTCGCTCGTACTCGGAGAAAGGCACCGGCTTCATTGGTGAATGATCGACTAGATGACGCGAGTCGAAAGCGCCGTAACACGGCCACGCGTTAGAAACACGCATACAGTTGCACACGATGGAAACATCAGAGTTCCGATTAGTTATAAACATGAATTAGTAACACAGTCGTCCTCATAATCAACACATTCATTTGTGAAGCAACGCATAGCTATTCAATGTTACTTTAAACCTGTCCAGCAGGTTGCATTGCAAGGATGAAGTTACAAGTACGCTTCAAATGCCACGCGGGATGTACATATGTATGCAAAGGCTCAGCGTCTGAGGTCCATCGACCGAGAGACGGTCCGTACCCTTGCAGCCGTCGGGCACACACGCACACAGCCTTCTGCAGCCGGCAGACACACACGCACACAGCCTCCTGTAGCCGGCAGACACACGGTCCGAGCCGTCGGGCACACACGCACACGGCCTCCTGCAGCCGGCAGACACACACGCACACATCCTCCTGCAGCCGGCAGACACACACGCACACAGCCTCCTGCAGCCGGCAGACACACGGTCCGGTGCAGCCGGCGGCACACATGCACGTCGCACACGGCCGTCACGCACGCTCGCTCTACACGCCTCGCACTGACGCCCGGCGTCACGAGCTGTCGGCCCGACCCCCGCTCACGAACGCACCCAGTCCACGAACCGGGAGCCTGTCCCGTCACACGCTGGCCATCCAACGTTATCGGCAGTCCGAGCACCAGCATCAGATCCCCGCGGCTGTCAGAGCTCAGCATCAGGCGTCCACATCTCAACCTGTCAGCACCAGCCCCGACTCCGAGCCTTCCCCAGCCGGACACACCACCACTGCTGACCGCGCCACGGTACAGTCCCACCGTGCCGCCGCCGCTCACAGCCGTACATCTCCGTCGGACCGGCACAGCCGTACATCTCCGTCGGACCCGTCCCCGTCCGTCCCGGGCGGCGGGCCGTCGCCGCTATCTCCGCTGTCTCCACGCCCCGCCGCTGTCGCCGCCGCGCCGTCTCCGTCCTCGGCGTCCGGCGGCGGCGGGTCCGGGTACCGCTCGCTGACGGCCGCCAGAGGCACGTACCGCCGGCCGTCGTAGCGGACAAAGTAGCGGCCCAGCTCGCGGTGTCCGATCGGCAGAGGAGCCGGCGCCAGCTCCAGGTTCTCTGCGGGCACCGCCGGCCAGCCGGTCAGTCGGGAGACGCCGCCCGTCAGTTGGCTAATTTGGGCAGACGACACAAGAGTACGACGGAACAAAATGTGTTTGGTAACACAGGATTCCAGGACGTTTAAAATACAACTGCTCCAGCATTGGATAGTCTATGATTTAATAGTTTGCCCAAGGACTCTAAGAACCAGTGGATCGATCGCAAAACACGCTGAAATATAAACGGCCGCCACGTTGAGCAGCACGCAAAGTACAACGTCGAATTGGAGCGTCGGGTTTGCACTCAGTACCAAGAGCCTTGGCTCTGAGAAGCCACCAGGGTCAGCGGCAGCACTGCAGACCGAGGCACTATCGCACCCTGTCGGCCAGTGTCCCGTCGTACAGCGTTCAGTCGTACAGTGCCCTGTCGACCAGTGTTCAGTCCAGCGGCGTATTTAGAAAATCGCGAAGGGGGGGGGCCAAGGGTTTGAAGGGCGCCACCTCACTCAAGGAGGGCGCCATACGGTCGCGAGATAAAAAATCGCTCAGTGGGGGTTGGGGGGTTGGGAGGCGTTTTTTACCATGCCACCAGTTTTTTTTTGCGTAACCTCGTATAGGTCGTGCTGCATTGATTTTGCATCGTGTGTATTCTTTATACTCCAGGTCACAAAAGGTCAAGTGTTCTTGAAATGCTGCGCCGAAGGCGCGCGAAATTTTTGAAAACAACCTTTTCCTCCGCTTTTTAGGCACGCCTTTTATACGATCACTGTTCAAAGCTCCTCTCGCTCTTTTACCAAATTTGAAGGTGTAAAAAATACCTAAGGTTTGGTCGGGCCGCTGCCACACAAACTGTACAGAAAGCTTGGCTCATGGGTGTCGATGTATAAAAGTTTATTGGCGGTGGCATATCTACGCACCAGATCACCGTATCGGATTGATACCGGAGCGCGAGATGCGTAAACATCATCCAAATTACCTCAGACCAGCCTTCATAGCCTTCTCACAGATGCATACAGTGTACCCACATAACCAGTTTCAATCACCGAAACTTCAGATGCCTGCTGTTGCGCCCGAACCTGTTGACAATACTTAATCGTAATCCATATAGATGCCATGATGCACGTAAAGTAGGATCAATCCGTTAAGACCAAAGACGTGTTTTATGCATCGTAGAGCGTAGATAGTTTTGGTAGGTATAGATACTTCATTCATTGTGCTGAATGCACGTTCATTTGTGGCAGTTTTCACAGGCAAGACATCAACTATGTGCAATAGAACGACTAAGTTGAAAAACATGCCAAAGGAGTAAATAAATGATAGGAGGGCAGCGATCAACGGATGTTGCCAATAGGTAGAAGGGCTGCGATCCACAGGAGGGCACTAATAGGTAGAAGAGCCCCGATCAACATCCCGAGTTTCGACAGTAGGGCACCGATAGGTAGGAAGTTGGCGAGCAGCAGGAGGGCGCCAATGGATAGAAGGGCAGCGATCAACAGGAGGGCACCAATAGGTAGGAGGGCGCCGATCAACAATCAACAGGAGGGCGCCACCAGGTAAGAGGGTGGCGAGGAACAGGAGAGCACCAATAGGAGGGTGGCGATCAACAAGAGGTCGCCAATAGGTGGGAGGGCGGTCATCAACTGGAAGTCGCCAATGAGCGGAAGGGTGACGATTAAAATGGGGGTGGCAATGGTGAGGAGGGCGCCTTTGCTCAAGAGGATGACACGAACAGGAGGGCGTCTGTGCGGAGGGCGCTGGTCAACAGGAAGGTGCCAGTGGATCGGAGGGCGGTGATCAACAGGAGGGTGCCAGTGGTTAGGAGGGCGGCGATCTACACGAGGGCGCCTGTAGCAAGAACGGTCGCGTTACTTTACATTGAATCGTATTTCGACGTAATTCGCGGAGTAAATCAACTTAAAGTTCATTTAGCCATTTATGTAGTGAATCACCGTATTATCATCACAGCAATCTCACCCCCATCCCCCACTTCAACCCTCATTCACAGCCATCCATTGACCTAAATACATTTCCCATACAAATCCCGCGCAGTATCCCAGCGGGCTCCTTCACCGGACAGTAACAGACGTAAACTGTAACATTCTCCCCCCGGTGAAATGACAATTTCACTCAATCCGTTCCGATAGAACACAGTGGCATGTGCTGACCGGCATCCTTGTAGGAGTCTCCTCAATCCTGAGGCCTAGCCGCACTCCAAACGATGCAGCCTCTGTACAGGCCGCGTTGATGTAGTGCCGTCTGCCCTTCGCAGGGTCGCGACTCGTGTCAGTCCATCTCTGCCTGGATGAAGCTCAACTATCCTTCCCATTGGCCAGAGTGATCGGGACTGATACGGATTTTCTCTGATGATTACCAGATCTCCGATAGCTGGATTGCTTCTTTCTTCTCGGGGAGGAATCCGCAGCTCTCGCAAATATTCTGTGTGCCACCTTTTCCATAAATGAGCGAGAACCTCACGACAATGTATCCAGCGCTTCCTGAGCACTCGGCTCTGGCTCTCAGGCTCAATCAAACCCGGGACATCGGGCTCGTCCAGTGCAGGGACTTGTAGAAAGTCCCTTGGAGACAGTGACCGAAGGTCATCAATGTCCTCACTCAACGCCGATAGCGGTCTTGCATTTATTGCACCTTCTATGCGGCACAGCAGAGTTTGCAGATCTTCAAATGAGAGCATACTCTTATGAAGCGTTCTGCGCAGAGCCTCTTTCGTTGTGCGCACGAGTCGCTCATAAAAACCTCCCCACCATGGAGCTCGGGGTGCGTTGAATTTCCAGGTTACTCCGGAATGAGCGAGGTGTGCTGCTGCGCCCTTGAAGTTTGTTGCGTTGTCACTTGTCACCGTTTTCGGCATTCCTCTTCGTGCGGCGAATCGATCGAAAGCTTGTAAGAAGTCCCTTGTAGAGAGGCCTTTAACCAGCTCTATGTGAACGGCTCTCACTACCGCACACGTAAAAATGACAAAGTATGTCTTGACGATGTTGCCGCCGTCTTTGGCGAAGATAGGTCCTCCGAGGTCCACTCCGAGCTGTGAGAAGGGGGTTCCGCTAGACGCTCTCTCTCTTGGAAGGGGAGCTGTTTCTTGCGTGAACGGCTCTGCATGGAAAATACGGCACCTTGGGCATGCTCGTATAACCTTGCGAATCGTTTGTCGGCCTTTTGGTATCCAAAACCTGTCACGGATGGAGTACATCGTTTGCTGCACTCCCGCATGACATAGTTCCACGTGTCGCTCTTGGATCAGCAGCCGAACGTAGTGATCATCATTCGGCAGCAGGATCGGATGTTTTTCGTCTTCGTTCAACTTCGATTCTTGTAGTCGTCCCCTCGCCCGGAGGATTCCGTTCTCCAGATATGGGTTTAGCTCGTAGATGTGTGATGTCCGAGGTACGGCCTGATCTGCTATCAATACTTCCCGTTCTGGTCCGTATGCTGTTTTCTGTGTTTCCAGTATCCACAGTTCTTCTGCTCGGTTGAGCTCTTCTGCAGTCAGATCGCCCGTTGTCGACGGCTCCGTCTTCCGGGTATTGGCCAGGAATCGCAGCATCCAAGCTGTCACCCGGTGCAGCCGTTTACGCGAACTGTAGTTCTCTGCAGACATAAGTGATCCGACACCTGGTTCCTGGCTCGCGGAGGAACACATGGTGATCACGGGCCCACTTTTCCGCTCCTCCGCTCTGCACTCGCTGGGTTCGTAGGCACGCTGAGGAGGCCATTCTTCCCTTTCTTCTCGGAGCCAGCTGGGTCCCTCTTGCCAGAAAGGCTCGCCAAGCTTGTCTGCGGATGCTCCTCTGGACGGCAGATCGGCTGGGTTACACTCGCCTGGGCAATGCCTCCACTTTGCTGGTGGAAACATTTGCTGGACCTCAGTTACCCGGTTGCTGACAAACGCCCCCCAGCGGCCAGGATCACTTCGGATCCAGGCCAGCGCCACAGCAGAATCAGTCCATAGAAGGACGTCCTGAGGTTTGGAGGGCAGTGATTCAATCACGTAAGCCGTTAGTCTCGATCCAAGAACGGCGGCCATGAGCTCCAGGCGTGGGATAGCCATGGGCTTACTTGGCGAAAGCCGACTTTTGCTCATGATCAAGCGCGTTTCAGGGCTGGTCTTACCGCATGTCCGGAGATATACTGCTGCAGCATAAGCAGTCTTGCTAGCGTCGCAGAACGTGTGGATGGTGAACTTTTCCACGTTGTTCGAAACGTACGGTCTGGGAATGCGAAGTGCCTCGAGAGACCGAAGACCATTCAGCCACTCGAGCCAACTCCGCCTTGACGAGAGCGGCAGATCTTCATCCCAGGCTGTACCGAGGGTCCACAGCTCCTTCAGCAGCATCTTGCAACGCATGGTGAACGCTGAAATAAGACCCAGAGGGTCGTAGACACGAGCTGATAATCTCAACACGTTCCGTTTTGTAGGACGTAGCTGCATCCCCAAATCATATAGATCTTTGCTCTGAAAGATGAGCTGATCCTCGTGCGGTACCCATCTCACTCCCAACACTTTTGTCGGCTCTCCGTCACTGGTCGTTAGAAGGATACCTGGCTCACTTGCTCGTTTTGCCGTGTCCGAGCTTCCTGCCACATCGATGCTTCGGTTTGACCTCCATTTTGTTAGGTTCATCTTTGCCGTCGAAAATACTTCCTTTGCTTCTTGGGCGAAGACCTTTGCTTCTGATTCGGTTGCCATGCTGGTCAGCAGGTCATCGCAGTAGACGTCACGTTTTAGTCGATCAGCCGTGTCCCTCAGTTCATCGGGCTGTCCTTCAAGATGTCGTCTTATGACAGCCTGTAGGAGGAATGGAGATGATGCTACACCGAACACCACCCGCGTCATCCTATAGGTGGTCACTTCCCCGTCCGGCGTTCGCCAGAGAAATCTGGTGAGATCACGATCTTGATGATGGAGTGCCAGCTGAAGGAACGCCTTTTCAATATCTGCTGACACCGCCACCATGTTCAGTCTGAAGCGAATGAGGATGCCGGTGAGGTCTGCTATCATGT